CAGTGTGTATATATATATATATATATATATATATATATATATATATATATATATATATATATATAATGTATCTGTCATTTATTATTTATTCTATCGCATGGTATGACGTGACTATCGAATAACTTATTCAGCATAATCGTATAGGATATTTATATATACATGTATAATGTATATGTCACTCATTATTTATTACTCCAGCGTAGAGAGGAATCCTTTTTTTTAAAGTAAATTGGACACGTGTACTTTTATATATATAAGATATAAATTCCATAGCCTCTTCATGTTTAAATTCTAACGTCATGGATCGTTTTTGTTGATGTTGTGTAAGATTTGTAATGTTAGGCTGACAAAAGAATCCCAACAGTCAGTTGCATTAAAACAAATAATGATACTACGTACAACAATCTATTCATTTAAATTATGTTAAGGTCACTGTTTACTTAATTGATCAAACTAATAATTGATAGGATTGAATGATTATAATATATCAGAAATCGCATTTGTGAAACTTATTTACTAATTTTATATATATAAACCTGATGTTTTAGGATTCTCTCCATCACCTGAAGGTAGTTTTGTCGGGAAACTGGGATTCGGGTCTAATGCCCAAACGAGTTCTCCCTTCTGAAGTTTGTGTCTTTAGATTGGGACATTTTATCTTTTTTTGGTCATTCCAATTTCCAACACATTCAGTCAAATGAACTGATTGAGAATCATATATCGTGTTCTTTGATCAGGATATGTTTCTGTTAACGTATGAGAGGAAATGGGTGTATACATGGATTGAGATTTTGGCGGATCCGGAAGCTTCAGTCAGAGAGATAGCTGACGGTGGGGGAGACCATGAAGCGCGTTCGGGTTGTGCGGAATGATTTGCTGAAAGGGTCCGCCTCAGTCCAGTCTGCACCTACACTGCTTGCTTCTTTCCTCTGTTTCTGCATCAAGTCCGTCAGAGCTTTCACTATCTCCGACACCGGCGGCCGGAACTCCTTCTCTGCCTGCTGCCCCCATCACCAGACGTTATTGGAGATATTAACCTCAGGAAAAAGCACATAAGGTCCGTGCCGATTACCTGGGTGCAGAGGGAGACTATGTCGGCGAATTGGGAGGCGATTCCCAAAGAGAAGGTGCCTGCGATTCCCGGGTCGATCATCTTTTCCAGGCTCCGCCTGTCGTGAAGTCTACACGAGGCCCACTTCACCAGTAATTGTTCATCCCTGGGTCGTGAGCTGGACTCGGAAAAGGTTAGCAATGGTGAGTGTTTTTTCGTCTTTTGTAATTATTTTTTTTTACCTGTCAAATGGCTTCCTCCCTGTTAGCAGTTCCAAGAGCAGCACTCCGAATGCGTAGACATCACTCTTTGTGCCACTGCTTCCCGGTTGTCCGTGTTCCGGTGCAATGTAGCCAGTGTTATGTATAGCTATCTCAGAGGCCTGCTCGAATCCCAAACTCATCAGTTCTTAGCAAGTGAACTAAACAACAGCATACACTGACCGAACAACTCCTTTTGTATGCTTACCCTCTGCTTGACACTGTTGCTTGTGAGTGGCCTTAAGCTAGCTAGTCCACAGTCAGCGATACGAGGCGTAAGTTCTTCATCGAGCAAAATGTTTTCGGCTTTCAGATCTCTGTGGGCAATAGGAGGGCTAAACGAGGAATGCAAGTATCTGAAAATGTTCATTCGCCCCGGAACGGAAATAGTCAAAACATATTTCAACGTTTCCCAAATCAATCTGCTTGATTTGGACACTTACTCCAGTGCTCGGGCAACTCCAATAGCAATTTGGAGACGCAGGCTCCAGGAAAGTGGTTTATAACCCTCATCGTGCATAGCTTTATACAGAGACAGATGTCCAACATACTCATAGGCAAGAAGATGCTTCCCGTTCTCAATGCAGAAACCAAGAAGGGCTACAATGTTCGGGTGTCTCAGTTTGGAAGCTGTCTGAAGCACTTCCATGAACTGTTCCTCCTCGTGTAAAGACAGCGATGCCATCGGGATGTTTTTCACAGCAGAGAACTTTTGCCAACAGAAAATGGAGAACAAACAAATATTGTGAACAATAATCACAGAGAAGCTTTCAACAAAATTTGTTTTCCAGTTCAGATTACCAAAAAGAGAGACTTCACCACTTACTTGACCATCTGGCAACTTTGCTCTGTAAACAGAACCGAGTGGACCCTCTGCAAGTAAGTTTTCCTCACTGAAATTGTTTGTGGCTAATTGAAGTTCTGCAACTGAGAACTGCTTCCCATATGCTGGAACTTGGCATGTCTCTGAGAAGCTTTTTCTTCTGGATGTTCTCTCGATCCGGATTGGTGGATGTCGGACCCTCATGATCTGTGGGCTATCTTCAACTTGATAATCTGTGATATATGGAGGAACTAAAAACAAAATCAAACTGACACAGTTCACCTTTGACATGGCAGTTTTAGTATTCTAACTCCATCACCTCTTGTTGTTCTGACCGGCAGAGAGTGTGCTGAACTAAAGTTGCTTCTGTGACTGGTGAGGTTTCGTGCGCGTTGATGACTACAGCGAATGGCAAATACTGCCATGAAAGTGCCCAGAAAAGCCATTCCCCCAACAAGTAAAACGACACTTCCTGCTCCCATCCTCTTCTTGTGGTTCCAGTGTTTTTCTTGGCCAGGGAAGTGCTTAATTGCGCTTGACTGAGTTGTTGGCAAGCCACTGGCGTTTTGCATCATGGGGATTATGTCCAAAGGGAACCTCCATGGTTTGTAGTTTGGGTCTATGTGGAAATTGTTTCCCCAAATCCTGTTTGAGCAAACATGAGATACATGATGAGGTCTAAAGTGTCTGAACCAATTTATTTTCAAGCAGTGCTGATTTTACTCACTGCAGATGAGGAATGGTCTGAAAATGGCTAGGGAAAATACCACTAAATTGATTATCTTCAATGTTCCTGAATACAGATGCAACCACAAAGAATGTTGAGCACAAAATAAATAGAGGGCAAAACACACAAGTTTTGAGGGCATAGAGGAAGGACTACAGGTCGATCAAGGGAAGATCAGCCAGATAGATGACTGATCCAGTGAATCTGTTATTCTGAAGGTACCTGCAGTGTCATTTTTCAGGTTAATAAAGCCAATAAGCCATGGAGGTAATGATTAAATATTACAAACTCACAATGAAGTCAGATTCATCAGAGATCCAAAAGAGCTTGGTAGATCTCCAGTCAGGTTATTGAATGCGAGATCCCTAGCAAGGTCATAACAACAATACTTGATTCATAGTTGCAATGACAATGAAAGCCTTTCATCTGTGTAATAACATCCAAATCTAGTTCTTATGGGAACTATCATCAATGTAAGTAAAACATAAGTTGACAGCAAAACTCACATTTCTCTTATTTGCAACCCAGAAAACACATTTCCAAGGGGTCCAGATAATGAATTATGGCTCAAATTCCTACAGGAGAGGCAGATTCATCAATTGAACAAATCAGTGGAAGAGAAACAAATTCGATGAAAGCCCACCAAAGTATCCCTTACAGATACTGGAGAGATGTCAGTAGAGCTAAGGAATAAGGTATACTTTGGCTCAGATTGTTGTATGCCATGTCACTGCAGATTAATAAACAATGTGAAAATTCATGAGTTGCATTGAAGCGTAAACCACATGATGAATGAACTTGGTTAGGCTCTTGCATGTGGGTCGCATTTGGAGGCAAGCCATACGGAATTTCACCCTGGAGAAAGTTGAAGCTCACATCCCTATCATGAAAAAAAGAGACTTCAAAGAACACATGATTTTGTCCATTCTATATTCTCAAGAACATCCGAATTTGCTTACATGATCTTCAAGTTGTGGAGATGGTGAAGCTGGCTTCCGAGGCTACCTGAAATCCTTAAACCTGGTATTCGACTACAACACCAAAAGCTCAGCTTTTTTTCGAACGAGAATCACAGAAATTCACGATACGCTCAAGGGACTAGGAATGTTACAGCTCTACTATGGACGAACCGGAACACGAAACTCCCATCCAGGATTCTCCACATGGATCTCCACTGTTCAGTTTCCATCCTTTCAGCCGCTGTGGACAGTTCAGGGCCTTGAACACATCTTGAAGAACCTCAACTGACAGACATGGAGGAGACAACAACTGCTTATCGAATCACAAGTTAATTCAGATATAATCTGCGTAAAATGAACCCACAAGTAAAAACCCATAGAAGTTCCCATCAAGATATCTCAATCGATTGCTACGCACGGAAACAGAACTTGTCACAGGGAAATTAGGAAAACGTAAAGAAAAACTAACGCACGCTGGAATTTGTTTGTTACTTTTTCTCAGGCAAGATTCATTCTGGTCCTGAAAAGGCTAGATGAGAGAATCTAGAAATTACCTTCAAGCGGATCCGTATATGCTTCAGACTGCGCAAACAGAACCACGAGGAGCGGAAATGCACCGAGATAGAAACCCGATCGTTGTTTCCCCGTCATCTCTGGGAACCGATTTTCCACGAAAATTCAGGGAGAATGAGAGTGCTGCAGGGTCGGTGTTTCTTTATGCAGAGAACTGAGCTTGGGAAGACTGCCGAATGGAAAGACAGAACGGAAAGAGAAGGAAAAAGGAGAAAGACGAAGGTTTTTTGTAATTTTCTCGGATTTTCTCTCGTTTTCTGTGCAACCAAACAGAGAGAAAAAGATCGAAGAAGGCCTACTACTCTACTGAAGAAGAGACAGGGTGAAACTGAATTCGAAGGCGTAGTTGCGCCAATAATCCACGTCAGCAAAGGCGGTTATGAACGTGGGAGACAACATTCGGGTGCATTTAGCCTACCGTAGACGCTCAGGTTTATTTTATTTTATTTTATTTTTGTCAAAATCAATTTTGTTTTCGTTATCGGATTCGATAGATTCTTTTAGTAGTAACCATCTTTCATTCTTTTGTTATGATTTTGATATAAAAGATACTAAATAATTGTCTTCATTATTAAAGAACAACGGCCAATATATAGTCTTCTTCACATCCAGGCGTTCCTCCAAGGCTCTCTAATGAAAGCTAAAAAAACAACAAAACATGGTACAAAGAAAGAGGGGACACTAGTCATTAACCTAGTAAGTACAAGGAAACAACCTCACTCACTCACTGCTTGGACATGTAATAAGAAAGCAAACCCACCCCTGTCGCCTGCTGCTGCTGCTGCGGCCTTCCTATCGGTTCCTTAGCTACCACCGGTGCATATGGACCACCACCCGCATGAGCATGTGACCGATGGTAATACCCTGGTGGTGCCACCGCATGAGCGTTAGTTGCAGGCGGGCTCGGGTATGAAGAGTAAGGTCCTCCTCCTACTAGGGCTTGGGGGTAAGAATAGCCAGCTGGAGAATGGCTCAGATGCCCCGCCTGTTGCGGGTACGGACCACCAGCCACTGCCATTGGCATTGTTGGGATCAAACCCGTCAGTACCCGGGCCTGCTGCACTTGCTTACCCTTGTGAGTTTCCGCCAGTTTCACCACTATTGCCCTTCCCTGCAAGGAAAAAAATTCTTTGAGTCTTTTATCTTGGGCAGATAAAAAAATACGGTTCTAGAGCAGTGATTGATGTTTCAAATATTACCCCGAGGATCTTGTGTGGATCATCCAATGCCTTTTTCGCAGCCTCAACTGTCCTGAAAGTGACGAAACCGAATCCACTGCAAAAAGATCAAGAAAGAAACTTGTTCAGTCACTTCAGGACGACGTTTATTTACCTGAAAGCATGAAATGAGAGACGATATGCATTTTTCGTATTAAACTAAATCATGGATGGCGGTTATTTACCGTGATTCATTTGTATCTTTGTCATATGCAACTGAACCTTCCTCGATTTCACCGCATCTACCAAAAAAGCTGAGAAGCATTTCACTCGTCACTTCGGGTGATAAGCCTCCAATGAAGAGTTTCCTTTGAGACAAATCAGATATTGAGTTTGTGCCACTCAGACCTTCGCAAGCTAAGTTACAGACAGCCAGCCGCCCCTGAAGCATACCGTTACATGTACGATCAGATTCCGCGATTCATTAAAAGTTAATACCAAATCTGAAAGCCTAGATTGAAACAATAGAAGGAAAATAGAGCCAAGTGCGGGAAATTTTCTCTAATCTCATTCAAAATGAAATGAATGCTGAAAGTTTAAATTCAAAAAAGAAAGCTAAAACGTTAGACCAATAATAACAAACCAGCTAACCAAGTCCCAATCGAACCGAATGTAATCTCTGATAAAGCCATCAGAGTTTTAGTAGTAGCCCCCTAGTGCATACGATATCATGTCAACAAGATTCAAGACTCATAAAAAGGAGAAACAACGAAACCATGTAATCATGATCATGCCATCGAAGTTTTAGCACAATCGAACTGAGAATAATTTCACAAGAAAAATGCCAGAGAGAAAAACAGCTGAATGGATAGATCTCATTGTAACCAGAACTGGTCACAAATCGAGGGGCTAAAAAGTAAAGAAATTCTTACATCGATCATTTTGCCACCAGCTTTGAGAGCATTCTGAGCTGACTCGATATGTTTGTAAGTGATGAAACCGTAACCACGAGACTTTCCTGTTGTTTTGTCGTATATAACAGCACCTTCCTCAATTTCACCATGTGCTCGAAATGTCTAAGCCATAAAAGAAAAACAGAAGCAGATGAAGATTGCTGAGAAAACAAACCATATCTTACTATTTCCCCCCGGCTATCCTAGAAAATATCCTCTTTTCATTAGAGGATATAAATATACAGACATTTATGTAAATAGCACACAGAACACAGGCAGTGGCAGGCAAATGCACTCACAGCACACAAGGTTTCCGAAGAAGTATTCCATGCAAGGCCACGAACAAAAAGCTTTCGATGAACAGGATCTGCGCTGGCCATACTTTTAATTTCTTCGGCAATCGAAGGATATTGAGAACCTCTTCACGTGTCAACATGCAAACATACACGGCATGCACAAGGGTCAACCAGGCATCATCATACATCCTTATTGCAGGAAGTTTTGCATCATTAGAGAAAGAATTCTTGCACAGAAACATAAGTTAAAAGCCACAGACATAAACACATTGTAGAAACCCGAATAAACATTATGTGTCATTTTATCTTCGATAAAGACATGACACGACCCACATGATTCCTTCAGTTTGATGGACTATACTGAGAAGGAACTGGAAAGGGAATTTAAGGCGCATTGACAACCAGACTATACACAATACCCGCGTTTGATAATGGAAAGCTGACTTGCCCAAAACATTCAATCTCATTTCTGTTCCGCCCTAAAAATCACTCCTTCTGGGTATACTAAAGACTCCAGCTTTACTTACAAAGCCTTGCTTGAAAAGGGTTTTGAGTATGTAAGAGCATAGAGAGGGTTACTAATCAGAAGCAAGTTACAGAGCAAAAACCTCGTATCCTACGCAGTTCGCAATCTCATCGAGCCACTATCCGATCGAATTTGCCCTACGATCTTGTCTTGACCCGAAAACTACACCGATCGACTAAAACTTAGAAAACCCAGACTACATCCCTTGACCCATGAACCCTATATTCCTCCTGATGAATGAAATCTTCAGAATCCGAATCGAAAAAATGAGGGTATGATTGTTCTCGATAAGGGACCTAATCAGCGAGGGCAAAAAGAGAGGAAAAAAAACGAAAACCCACCAAAAAAGGGCTTACATTCTGGAGAGGAGATCAACGAGCTGAGATTTCTCAATAGGTTCAAGGAGAGAGCGAAGCTCCTCTTGAGAAGTTTCGCCATCACCCGTCTCGTCCATTTTCCTCTTCTTCGCTTCCTCCATATCTGCACTTGTTTTTCCCCCTTTTTTTCTTCTTCCTTTTTCCGGTTTGTCTCTCTTCGGATTTTTTTACCAATTTTCTCTCGGCCTTGGGTTTGTGGTCTCCTCGTAGGTCTGGCCGCTTTTGGGTTTAAACCTAAACCATTCGATTCATATAGTTTTTGCCATTTGATTTATCAATTAAAAATTCAATAAAACATTTTAGCATTTTTACTTTTTTTCTGTCGTAGAGCATAGGAATGAATATTTCAGTTATTTATCGAATAATCAAAACGAATAAGATATAACTGTATTTAAACCGAATTTGATATCAAAATCGAACGGTTATGATTTCTTTAAACCCGAAAAAATTGAAACCGAACAGAATAAAAAAATAATCGAAAAATTCGATAATTTCTTTGAAAAATAAATTTTTTTATCAAAACCGAATCGAACTAAATCAAAGATTATATAAAAACTGAATGGCTATAGTTTTTCTATAATCGAAATAAGTGAATCCGAATATAATCGAACTAAACCCGAATCGAGACCCAAAATAGTGGTATTTCAGTATTAGGTTCGGGTTTGATCAGTAAATGATTTGATTCGGTTTTTTCGGTTATACAAAATATATATTAATCGATTATTATATTATATTTATTTTAATTCCTTGGTTTTTATTAAAAAAATAGATTTTTTTTTTAAAAAAAATTTGGTTTTTCAAAATTTTTTAAAATTCGATTCAGTACCGAAAACGTCCCACCCTAAGAGACAGTAACATTCAGTCCGACTTTGTTAAGACATTATTCTATTAAATCCATTTTTAAAAAAATGAGAATCTAAATCTACAATTAAAAAACAATTGTTGATATTTTCTCAAAAAATTCTACAAGATGTGACCACATACTCAGAATTTTATTATTAAAAAGGAAAAGTTATATTCTATCAAATATATACTTATATATATGTGTGTAGATTAACAAAATTTTGAATAAAGAAAAAATCTGTAATATATATATATATTAAAATTGACATTGATTCTCCACGCCAATATCATTATCATTTACTTCACTGAAATGAACCAAAAAAATACTAAAGATAAAATTATTTATCATTTATTTAACCGATAAAAAGAATTGAATAACAAATAACTATATCAAATATAAAAATGGAATTATGATTTTTTAAAAGTTGAGCGGAATCGAATAAATAAATATTTTTATCGATTTAATTTTTTTATCTATATTGGAATCAAAATCTGAAATGATTTTCCCAATTTTTTGAAAATTAAAAAACTAAAAAATCTCTAGTTATGATTTTTTTTATTTCAGTTTTTCTAACAAATTGGAAAGTAAATTTTTTTTTGAGAAATTAATATAAAAGTCAAAAACTACTTTTTTTATAGATTTTAGTGTTATAAATAAAATATATTTATGATGGAGTCCACCGTTACTATTCACACCGACTTACTGTTCATATATATACGGTATTGTTCACATCGACCGTATACGTAAACAGTAACTTCGAGATTTCTATAAATAGACCATTTGGGTTCCTCCATTTGTACACTTTCAAGAGAGAGATCAATAAGAAATACATCCTTCTCCACTCTCCTAAAATACCGTTTTTCAGTTATAGTTAACGTTCTAATATCCGGGTTGTTAATATTTTCCCGATTTCATAACAATTATCAGCACAAGCGCTCTTCTATAACCAAAGGTAAGATAACTTATCGTTAATACAAATATTTTTGTTCTTATGATATATACACGTATTCATTGATGCTTGAGTGGAATTAACCCCAAACTATATAATTAATTTATGGACGGTTATACCGTCTCGATTATTATTCATGGACGGCTATGCCGCCTTTATTATTATTCATGGACGGCTATGCCGCCTTAATTGTTAATCTGGATAGATATGCCGTCTTAAATATTTATTCGTTATTGGATGGCTTGCCGTCTTAATTATTAATTTGGACGGTTTTGCTGCCTTAATTATTTATTTGTTATTGGATGGCTATGCCGCCTTAATTGTTAATATTGGACGGCTATATCGTCTTACTTATTAATAGACTATTGTGTTTATTCTTTATGGACGGCAATGCCGCCTGAATTATTTTAATTCTACAGACGGTAATACCGCCACATAATAAACAATTATATTACCTTACCTATATAAATTAATAAATATTCATCATGCAAAATATTATCATATATAATATAAATTTATTGATGGTCAACTATACGAAATTTTGTTTTTTGAATTTAATCTAAAATTTACAAATAAAGTTTTATAAATTCTTTCATATATCGGTAAGTTAATTATAAATTATTATTTTTTTCAATATATACATAGCATGATCAATTAATTTTACAAAATAGTTTAACAATTCGTTTTGATAAATTATTTTATGTATAGTTTTATGGCATAAATTGGTAAAATCATTTATAAAAATTTTCAAAAAAAAAATCTCCAACGGTTACAATTAAAAAAATAAAAAATAAATAAAAAAATCAAATTTTGGCTCCTTTCCAACGGCTAGGAATAATAAATTTTACCCTATAAATACACTCACCCATTTACTCAAAAACTCACACCAAATCATCTCATTCTCTTCTCCTCTCCCATGAAATTTTTTTTTCTCAAGATGAATTTTATTAAAATTCTCTTTAATCTAGCAGTTGTAGCAGCAATATTTAGTATTTTCTTGGACAAAAATCCCGATCTATTTCTGTTTTCAATTTGCGTTGCGATCTTATCTCTTGTTTACGTGTTACTAATTATAGCAATTTATATATAATCATGTATTTCGCTATGTTGTCTTATCCATGATAATGAATAAAGTTAACGTATGACTTATTTTTTTTGTTTAGTCACAATGGCAAGAATGACAAATATCGAGTTCGAGGTCCTCGACATATCGGGAAACAATTATTTACTGATATGATCCCAAGATCGATAGATTTCCCGATAGGCGGTGGATGGGTTCCCTAAACCCCTAAACAACTCGTAAACGAAACCTAAGCAAACATTCGTGAAGAACGGTCTTAAACCCCGAGTGAACCTGGTTTAGAAACGTAGGATGATCGAAGATGCCACAAGTGCGGAATCAACACTTGATAAGTCAAGTTTGAACGCCACGGATGAAAATTCGATAAGTTCAGAAATTAGTTCTAAAAGAACTCTAAGAGAAACCTCTCAAAATATATTTCAAAGTTGTTTTACAAATGTGATATGGGATCCCTATTTATAGATCACCATACATGAAACTTAACAACATAACATAAATAAGAACAAACAACAAGGGGTGAATGTGTGGTCTTCAAGTCTTGAATGTGATTGTGTGAAACTTCAAGAAAACCATAATAGTGACTTTGTGGTCTTCAAGATGGAAGTTGGAAAGTCATCTTGACCAGAATTGATGTCAATTTTCGTCACCCTTATTGGGCCTAAAATTTGGGCTTCACTTGTGGGCCTTCCAAGCTTTATATCATGTGGATAATGGGATGACAATTTTCGTCACCCTTATTGGGCCTAAAATTTGGGCTTCACTTGTGGGCCTTCCAAGCTTTATATCATGTGGATAATGGGATGAACACAGCAGGAGAAAGCGTTGAGCTAATTGGACCGATTACAAGATCTCGTGCCAAGAAGCTGCAAGCTGCACCAAATGGCCTTATTCTCCCTTGTTTGGGTCAAGAACACGAATAAGGCCATTTGGTGCAGCTTGCAGCTTCTTGGCACGAGATCTTGTAATCGGTCCAATTAGCTCAACGCTTTCTCCTGCTGTGTTCATCCCATAGCTAGCTTCCGATGCAGCTCGTCCTTGCATGAGTTCAGCTCCAATGGTGTTGCCTTGGATGTCCACATCATTCTCCTCTTCTTGAGAAAGATTTGTCCTCAAATCTGAATTGTCTGCGATAAAAGGAGATAGATCAACAATATTGAATGTTGAACTAACATTAAACTCACTCGGAAGCTCGAGTTGTTAAGCATTGTTGTTAATCTTTTTAAGAACTTTGAAAGGGCCAACTCCCCTGGGCATCAACTTTGATTTCCTTTGGGTTGGAAAATCTCTCTTTGCGCATGTGCACCCAAACCATGTCTCCCGGTTCGAATACAACCTCTTTTCGCCCTTTATTTGCTTATCTTGCATATGGTTTCATTATCTTTTGGATTCCTGGATCAAATATAACATTTTGACATGAACCAAAAGATAGAGATACAATACCGAACTCCATAAGAGTTGAAGAATCTTCGATATGCCCAGATTTGATGAGAAAAAACTCATCAATTGCATCTCCGCTTTCGGTGTTTCCATCCTGCATCAAAACAAACACAATACCTACACCAAAAGAATTGCATTCTACCTCGAAAGCTTTAGAAAAATCAGGTAGGGATAAGAGTGGAGAATTAGTGATTTTTTCCTTCAAAAGTTGAAAAGCGGCTTCTTGTGCATCTCTCCACTTAAACCCGACATTCTTCTTTATAACTTCTGTCAATGGTGCAACTATGGTGTTAAAGTCCTTTACAAACCATCTATAGAAACTAGCAAGTCCATGAAAACTCTTCACATCACCAACTGTCCTTGGACATGGCCAATCACTTATGGCTGCGATCTTCTCTTCATCGACATGAATTCCCTGCTCACTAACCACAAACCCTAAAAACACTAACTTGTTAGTGCAAAACGTGCATTTCTTGAGGTTAGCAAACAATTGCTCATTTCGCATAACATCCAAGTCAGATTTGATGTGTTCAATATGTTCAATAAGGTTCTTGCTATATGTCAGGATATCATCAAAATACACAACCACGAAACGTCCTAGAAAATGTCTAAGAACGTGATTCATCAGCCTCATAAACGTGCTAGGTGCATTTATTAAGCCAAAAGGCATAACCAACCATTCATACAATCCATGCTTTGTTTTAAAGGTTGTTTTCCATTCATCACCTTCTTTCATGCGTATTTGATGATAGCCACTTCTCAAATCAACCTTAGAAAAGAATTTTGAACCATGCAACTCATATAACATGTCATCAAGTCTCGGAATAGGATGACGATACTTTACCGTGATTTGGTTGACCGCACGACAATCAACACACATTCGCCACGTACCGTCTTTCTTTGGTACAAAAATCACCGGCACGGCACATGGTGACATGCTTTCTCGGACGTGTCCCTTCTCCATCAGATCCGAAATTTGCCTATGAAGCTCTTTGGTTTCCTCGAGATTGGTTCTGTAGGCTGCCTTGTTCGGAATACTTGCACCGGGAATGAAATCGATTTGTTGCTCGATTCCTCGTAATGGTGGCAGTCCATTTGGAATCTTCTCCGGAAAAACATCGTCGTATTCCTGCAGAAGATCAAGAACAACACTAGGCAAAGTAGAGGTGAGTTCGTTAGTGTTCAAAAGAGCCTCTTTGTACAGAAGTACAAACATAGGCTGATGTGAAAACAATGCTTTCTTGACCTCTCTCGCTCTCATGAAAAAATTTGTGTTTGATCTCACGGGTATACTCTCAAAGGTCTTTTTCTGAGTTTTTCTCAAATCCTCACCAATTTTTGAGTGAACTACCTCATGGTCACACAGTTTCTTCTCATTCTTGATCATTTGGAGTTGATCTTCGTACACTTCCTTAGGAGACAAAGGAACCAATCTGATTTGCTTCCCTTTGAACTCGAAAGAATATTTGTTGGAGTATCCATCGTGCTGAGCACGCGTATCAAACTGCCATGGCCGCCCAAGAAATAAATGACCAGCTTGCATAGGCATAACATCACATAGCACTTCATCTTCGTATTTGCCAATACGAAATGGAACCTTTACTTGCCTATGAACCTTCGTTTCTCCACTATCATTCAGCCACTGAAGTTTGTATGGCTTTGGATGCTTCTGAGTAAGTGACCCTAGCTTCTCAACCAAAGAATTGCTCGCCACGTTAGTACAACTTCCACTATCAATGATCAAGCTACATACCTTGTCTTTCACAACACATCTTGTATAAAAGATGTTTTCTCGCTGGATTTTCTCCTCTTCTTTTGATCGAAGATTCAAAACCCGTCTAGTCATCATCAGTTTACCTGACTCAGCCTCTTGCTTGTCTACATCACTCTCCAAAGACGGCATTGAATCAGATTCACTCTCTGCTTCGGTTTCGATCTCTCCATTATCATGAACCACCAAAGTTCTCCGATTTGGGCACTCATTAGCATAGTGTCCTCTGCCCAAACACTTAAAACAACGAATATCTCGAGTACACGATTGAAGAGCATCTGAAGTACCTTGTTTTCTTGGCTGAGACGTATCAGGTTTGCCCTCGGGTTTTGCTGCCAATTTTGAACCAAAAGGTTGCTTATCTTCTTTGTGGAAATGTGGCCGAGCATTGGAAGAGTTGGAACCAAATTTCTGATGCGTTTTTCCCCGTCTTTTGATTTGGTTCTCGAACTTGATCGCAAGATGTAGCAACTCCTCCATCTCAACATAATGTTGAGTTTCCACACGATCTTGGATTTCTTGATTCAACCCTCTGTTGGTTTAGTGCTCTATGATGTACTGTTTATGAGCTTTGTTCAGATACATTCGATGTATTGATACTTTCTATGGTTTATATGAGAGTATTTGATTCATTACATGTTCTTGCATACTAGATCTGTTATGAAATCCATGTATCATTATGAATGATACTAAACTCCCTAGTCTTGTGTCATTATGGGAATGATGACATAATAAGACTAGTATGATGTGTGATTGATGATTATAGAGATGATCATAGGTATTGGATACGATCACTGTCATAGGTATTCGTTGGAGAACGGAATACTGGATTGACCCGCATGAGATTGTCACATGGACTAGCGTCATGACTTGAATCTCAAATGGCGATTCCATGATTGGATCCTAAGACCTGAGATATCTACGGAATCCAACATGAGGAGTTGCGTGCTTTGAATACGTCAAACGTTCTGCGTAACAGGAGAACTATAAAGGCGTGTATCAGGTACGAAACGAATCATGTGCTGGATTGTAGATAGTCAAGACGAGATTTGTACCTCTCGTAAAAGAGAGAGATATCACTGGGCCCCTCGTGTGAGCGAGACTGTAGAAATGTGTGGCCGCACTATAGACGAACGTCGTCTATTTCAGACAGTCGAACTCAGTGAACGAGAAAGCAGTCGAATCAGATAAGGTGGCTGGTCCATGCCTTATGTTCGACATATGATATCGCGATACAAAAGGATCATCAACCGGAATAATCTCTGGCGTTCGTAAAGATCACGAACAAACTCTATTCGAGATAGGTAGTCATAGTGTCTTGCTAGAGACCGCCTATGACTTGTGTAACCGAAATAAGGATTTCGGGTTATACTGCTATGTCGAATGAGCCTACAAGGTCACACACGCAGGGAAGGACAAATGCACGAGAGAAAACGACGGAAAACCGAG